TTTATTTTAATTTGAAGAGTGAGAACAGAAGCAAAAACAAATAGAAAAATGACAGAAACAGGGTAACAGTATATATGTTACAGAGAGAGAGAGGTGGAGGTGGGGGAGGATGCTGTCATAGATCTGGGTCTAGCAACTTACCAGATCTGGATCTACCAAGTTCGACCTCATTCAGCTGGGCCTTGCTTGGGTCTGGCTGCTGTGCTTGGGGAAGTGACCCCGCTATTCCCCACTGGTGAGCTGTTCTGCTCCTGGATTAGCTGGCCGGACCTCGCTCCTAGCTGCTCTTCCAGGAATTCCACTGCTGGGTTCCACACCAGGCCTGACTTCTGGCTGGAGGTGGAAGTTCTGGCAAGAATGTCATTCTTTTTAATGCCTAAGTTATACTCCACTGTGTGTTACAGGCTGCATGCTATCCATTTATCTGTTGATGGACATGGGGTCCCTGTTTTCAGTTTTTTGTGGTCTATACCTAATCTATTTTAAGAGCTTTCAAAGGTATGCTGTAGTTTTGAGCTAATGAAAACACTTTAAGAACACACTCCTCAAAGCTTGACTATAGAACAAAATAGGTGCTCAGCCTCCATAGTGAGTTCATAACAAAAGAAATGCTTTGGGGAGCTAGGAGTAAAACAATGATGATTCTTTTTACTCTTATTTTCTAAGCTTATGAGTTTCCTTTTTACTTTGGTGAGGAAATGTTTGATTTGGGTGGATGACAGTGAAGAAATTACTTTGTAAGGACAGGATTTGCTTTTATCTTGGGAGTTTTTTTTTTTTTTTTTGGCGGGGGGAAGGGTCTACAGGGTGTTCAGGGTCTCACTATTAGATTAGACTCGTAGTGATCCGCCTGTATATAGCCTCCCAAGAGCTGGGATTACAGGCATGCAAGCCTGGTCTCAATTGCTGTCTCAGCACGCCCCAGGGGCTGGGCCGGCAAGGCAGGCCACGTGATTGAACCCAAGGCCTTATGCCTGCTTGCAAGGGCTTTAATCCGCTGGGCTATTTGATTGGCCATAAAACTTTTTGTTTGCAGTACCAGGGATGGAACTCAGGACCTTGCATTTGCCAGGGAGGCACTCAAGCTGCTGAGCTATTTGCTTGGCCAGGAGCTCTATTCTTTTATAAGAATTATAGGAAAGGGCTTTAAAACTATTCTGTGAGTTATTTGGAAAAGGAATGAAAGTTACATTTATGTTACTAAGAAACATTACTAAGAACTGCTCTTTTGGGGCTGGAGAGATGGCTCAGTGGTCTAAAGCACCTACTTGAAACAAGCTTGGCAAAGCACAGGGACCGCGGTTCGATCCCCAGCACCACATGCCAGCCAGACCCGCCCCCTGGTGGGCTGAGCTGGCCACACACACATACAATAAATAAATGTAATAAATAAAAATAAATAAATATTTAAAAAAAAAAAAAAAGAACTGCTCTTTTGTGATAACTAGGCGTGGCAGACTTAGTAGCTTGAAGTTAATCTGTGAATTAAGAACAGTAACCAAGCCTATTAACTATTAGAATTTTGAATCCTATTTGGGGTTATCTTATGCCATGTTCCTGAAAATATATGTAGTCAACACTTTATTTTTTTATTTTTTATTTTTTTTAATTTTATTTATTTATTTGTGTGTGTGTGTGTGTGGCCAGCTCAGCCCACCAGGGGGCAGGGCTGGCTGGCATATGGTGCTGGGGGATTAGAACCGTGGTCCCTGTGCTTTGCTAAGCTTGTTCTAAGTAGGTGCTTTAGACCACTAAGCCATCTCACCAGCCCATAGTCAACACTTTAAAGCAATGTATCTTCTTTTTTTCCTTTTGATATTTTGGAGCCAGGGCCTCTCTATGTAGTTTAGGCTCGTCTTGAACTCACTGTTGTGGCCCAGGCTAATGACCAAGTCATGGTGATCCTCCTGCTTCTGCTTCCTGAGTGCTGAGATTTTAAGTATGTACCACCAGAGCCAGCTGAAAGTAATGTATTTTGGAAGCCCCTGAACTATCTTAATAATGAATAAATGAAAACCAAACATTTTATACTTAAGTAATAGTTCATTAAGGTGAACTTTTTTTCCTATAACTTTATTGAACTTTCAGATTCATAACTATTTGTCTCTCATATTTTATTACATACTACATCATAAGGTGAACTTTATAGAGGAGCAAATAGACTTCTTTTTGAGATCTCAGTGGTTGTAAAGGTACCCATGTAATTTCCTTGTATAGTTCAGAATTAGCTGCTTGTCCTATCCCTTAGATTTTCTTCAGTAGTTTTGAGACAAAAAAGCTCTATATTGAAAAACTTCTGAGGTAATTCTGATGAGCAGCTGATTTTAAGAACTCTAATCTCCAATGGGCATGGTGGTGCATGCCTGTAATTGTAACACTCAAGAGGTTAGATAAGGGGATTGCTGTGAGTTTGAGGCCAGTCTGAACTACATAGGGATACCTTGTCCCAAAAAACCCAAATCAAAGCACGAATTTTTCCTTTTCCAATTTTGCCTTTTCATGAGATACAGGCTGAATGTATGGGCAAGTTGTATGATGTAAAAATGACCAGGTGAGTCTTACTACTTTTGAGTAAGGTAAAAACAACAGCAAACTTATGTGAGGCTGTATAGATTACATAGCATTTTTATATTGCATGGGGTTCTGTAATTTTCTTGGTTTGTTAAATTAGTATCTCTATTTTACAATTGATGGAGGCACCACAGAGTAGAATGTCTAAGTCATGGTGATTCTCCTTGCTCATTATTCCTTAGCTGGTACATAAATCTTTCCAAACCTTGTTTCTTTCTTATGGTCAGAAAAAGCATGCATACAAGGTTGCTGAGCTTGGTGGAGAGGGATGTAATTCCTGTATCTTCTGTAAGCTATGTTTAAAAGGGGCAATAGTTCCTTTCGCTTATTTCCTAATAGTTCTTTATTTGCTTCTATTATCACCCAAGCCAGTAGTGGACTCCATGCCAAAACAGGGCTAAGACAGACCAACCGACCGACCTTCCTTCCTTCCTTCTCTTTTCTCTTTCTTTCTTTTCCGTCTTTCCTTCCTTCCTTATGACTTCCTAGTGTTAGAATTACACAGGGTGTACAGGGCCTCATTACATAGATCGGACTTGTAGTGATTCTCCTGTTTTCAACCTCCCAAGCTCTGGGATTACAGGCGTGGGCCACTATGCCCCGTCTCAGTTGCCTTCTCAGTGCACCCTGGGGGCGGGACTGGCACAGCAGGCCCCAGGGATCTAACCCCCAGCCTCAGCATTTGCCTAAGCAGGCACTTTAGTTGCTGAGCTATCTGGCAGACCCTAAGATTTTATTTCTATTTTCCAGTGTCATACATATGTATTACTTGTTCCTTGTCAACTGTTAGTGTGTTGCTTGAGCTCCCAGTTCATTTGAAACTCATTTTTTGCTAGGCATACTGTAGTTTCCCCTGGGTAACTTGTATTTGCTGTGTTGTTTGCATTTATTCTCAGCAAAAAATATAAAATTTGGAATCATTCTGTTGGCTGTATCTTCTCTAATTCTAACTTATTCAAAACAAACAGAAATTGGGAAAAGTCAGTAGTGTTTCTTTCTGTGCAGCTTGTTAAAGTTTAGCCTTTTTAACTTAAAAAATAGCAAGACAAAGCCAGAGTATTATTGTTTTTGGGTACTATTATTATCTGTCCTACTGTCCTCATAGAACCTTAAGCCATGAAACTACTAAGATCTTCTACTGCAACTGTGACTCTGATCATGAAGACCTTTGTAAGAAAGATCCAAGGCAATCCATGTAC